CTGTTGTTATCTTTTGAAACACTAAGATAGCTTGATGATTTGAACAGGGTCTAAAGGGATATGATTCTAAGGTCAGATTGAGTCTTGCACAACATTTAGCGGGTTTTGTTTTGTTTTGAGCTTAACTGAGTACCTGTGGGCTGAATGAAGGGAAAGAGGGGATATTTTGGTTCAGAATAATGTGTGCTCTCTGGCTCATATTTTATAGGATAATACAAATAAAAATTGATGAACAATTGTTAAAGCACTAATGCAAAACACTACAATTTAATGGCTCGTTTAAGCTGCCGAACTGTAAGTGATGTTAGCCCTGTTGCTAGAGCCTTGCCGTCTCCATTCCTGCAACTACATCTCCAAATCCTGTCAAAGAATGCACAAAATGATTGACAGGCCGTCTCCAAGTCTTCTGATTGGTTAACATTCATGGCTGCTGTCAAAGCGACATGTGATTTCCCAGAACACCTCAGTCATACAGTGGCACCAAAAAGTACTTGGACACTTAAGTCACACTTAAAATTGCCATTCCATTAGATGATTAAATATGAAACCCTCTGCACTCAAATACTGCGGGAGCTTTTCTCCGTATTATTTTCACTCTGTAGGCAATCTGTTTCATAAATACATTTGTTTACTGGTTGAAACTCTCTTCACATCCAATTCTTGTTGCCCATACAGTAATAAAATAAATATTTCAATTGTATCCATATTTGGCTGATATAAACTCTTTTCATTGCATTTCTCAATGGGACATGGACCTACTTCAAAAATCAGTGATCTTCAATAAACAATATAATACACCAAACCATGTCAGCATAGGCTGCTGTTTGGCTTATGTAAGCTTCGGAGCAGCACTACACTCCCCTACAGGATTATAAGGAACACCTGTTCAATTTCTCATTAATGCAAATATCTAATCAACCAATAACATGGCAGTTGCTTCAATGCATTTAGGGGTGTGGTCCTGGTCAAGACAATCTCCTGAACTCCAAACTGAATGTCAGAATGGGGAAGAAAGGTGATTTAAGCAATTTTGAGCGTGGCTGTTGGTGCGAGACGGGCCGGTCTGAGTATTTCACAATCTGCTCAGTTACTGGGATTTTCACACACAACCATTTCTAGGGTTTACAAAGAATGGTGTGAAAAGGGAAAACATCCAGTATGCGGCAGTCCTGTGGGTGAAAATGCCTTGTTGATGCTAGAGGTCAGAGGAGAATTGGCCGACTGATTCAAGCTGATAGAAGAGCAACTTTGACTGAAATAACCACTCGTTACAACCGAGGTATGCAGCAAAGCATTTGTGAAGCCACAACATGCACAACCTTGAGGCGGATGGGCTACAACAGCAGATGACCCCACCGGGTACCACTCATCTCCACTACAAATAGGAGAAAGAGGCTACAATTTGCAAGAGCTCGCCAAAATTGGACAGTTGAAGACTGGAAAAATGTTGCCTGGTCTGACGAGTCTCGATTTCTGTTGAGACATTCAGATGGTAGAGTCAGAGTTTGGTGTAAACAGAATGAGAACATGGATCCATCATGCCTTGTTACCACTGTGCAGGCTGGTGGTGGTGGTGTAATGGTGTGGGGGATGTTTTCTTGGCACACTTTAGACCCCTTAGTGCCAATTGGGCATCGTTTAACCGCCACGGACTACCTGAGCATTGTTTCTGACCATGTCCATCCCTTTATGGCCACCATGTACCCATCCTCTGATGGCTGCTTCCAGCAGGATAATGCTGAATCATTTCAAATTGGTTTCTTGAACATGTCAATGAGTTCACTGTACTAAAATGGCCCCCACAGTCACCAGATCTCAACCCAATAGAGCATCTTTGGGATGTGGTGGAACGGGAGCTTTGTGCCCTGGATGTGCATCCCACAAATCTCCATCAACTGCTAGATGCTATCCTATCAATATGGGCCAACATTTCTAAAGAATGCTTTCAGCACCTTGTTGAATCAATGCCACATAGAATTAAGGCAGTTCTGAAGGCGAAAAGGGGTCAACAGTAGTATGGTGTTCCTAATAATCCTTTAGGTGAGTGTATGTAACATATTTCTGCTGCTACAAATGTCAGCGTGTGGTGGTTCGCATGTCAACAAAAGCTTATTCAAGCATATATATGCTATATTTCTTTAAAATAAATACTACTAATATTTTGTAATCTAACGATCTACAGTGAAATTCAGACATTTTAAGTACGTCTTAAGCTTTCAAATATTCTGTGGGGCCGATCAGGTATAGGTATGATTTCTGTGTGTGGGATTAAAAATATTTTACAGCGGCTTTAAGCTCTCCTGTAATTTGATACCTGTGAGTATAGCAGAAACCGTATGTGACGGCGAGCGGCAGTAATATAAACATGAGTGTGAGGGATTCCAGATGATGTCATGACTAAACAGTCCATTACTAATGCTGCATGACCACACACACACACACACACACACTCACAAAACAGCCATAGTTTATTTTTAACTTGTTAAGAGCATTGTGACAATGAGTCTTTATGAAGGTCTGGAAACTGTTTTTGGGATGACTTAGAAAGGCAAAGAATTACAGCAACACACACGTTCTTTTGTGTAACCAGAGACGCACAACTACACGTGATGACAGGGAGGGAGTTCTCAAATAGTTTGTGTTTGTCAGTGCGTATGTGTGTGCGTGAGAGTTCATTTTTAGCTCAAATCCAAGATAAGACTAAAGACTCTGAAATACACAGCTGGAAAGGATTATACTTTAATAATAATTAGTGGTGTTTGCTTAAAATGTGCTGTTTTGTCTATAAACAAATCATTTTCACCTGGCGGACGAAAAAGCAGGCAGTAAAAAGACCCATAGACTGACAATGAAGGAGGGACTTAAGCCAAGTGTAGACTTATGCCCATACACTTGTATGATTTTTGGCCAATCGAGACCAATCGTGGCGATTTCTATGGTCATGGCTTCTAAACGGTGGTCCTGGGGCGTGGGTGTCACTCCTGTTTGTCTTCAAAACTTGAGAGCCCTGCAGGCATAAAACAGCTTTAAAAATACAATAGTAAACAGTCATTATTTAGTTGAAATCAGGGTAACACTTTACAATACGGGTGCACTAATATACATTAATTCATACTTAACTAATGCACAGATAATCATGAGTTAATAAATAACTCATGAAGAACTAAAGCATTAATTAATGATTACTGCATCAGCAACTAATAAAGAATCTATTAATATATTAAGTAATACATGAATTGCTATTAATTCAATGTGCAATTGTGTATTAATTCCTTAAAAACACATTTTATTAACTAATAGTGTAAATTAATGTGTTAAATACCACAATTAGTCAACGCTATGCACTTAAACTTCCAGTTGTCTGCTTTAATTAATAATTAGCTAATGATTTGCAAAGATATCATTATGTTATGACTTTACTTGTTGGGGCACATCATTTTTAACAATTAATTTAGTAATTGTAGTAATTTGCACATGAATTTGCACAAACAATGAAGTAATTAATCATGTATTAATGCATATTAGTGTACCTGTCATATTATCTGGAAGTTGAAAGACTAAGCTTTGGCTCATTCTGGTAATTAACATATTAATTAACACTATTAGTTAAAAAAATGAGTTATTATGGAATTAATCCACAATTACATATTTAATAACAATTCATGTATGAACTAATACATTAACCCTACAGACTCTTAATTAGTTCCTAATGTGGTAATCATTAATGAATAGCTTAAATAATCATTAGTTACACATTAATTCAGTATTATCTGTGCATGCTTATTAGTGCTCCCGTATTCAGGTACATCAATTATGAAATGAGTTCAATTCAGTTATAAAACCGTGATTTTATCATCCAGCTCAGTTATCTTCTCATCCAATAGTGTCAGTGCAATCAAATCTGTAATAATACTGAATATTAAGTAAGAAACACGTGTTCCGTGGACTTACAATGTTCTTACCTAAGAAAGTACTGTAACTACAGAGGTTAAGTTTTCAGGTATGGGTTCATGGTTAGTACCTAGTTATTACCCAGTTAGTGTCATTACTACCATTAGTGCATTGTATGTACATGCGAAACAGGACTGTAAAAAAAAACGTATTTTACTCTTCATACTAACAACTGTTAGTCCATTGCTGTTACACAAATTTCTTTAAACTTATTCAAACCCATTTTAGTAAGATTCTTATGGTTCTTTTCTTTTGGAAAAAACATTTTCATCACTGTATAGAGTTCTTGAATTGGTTATACTCTTGATATTTTTTAATTGGTTTCTGGCATCTTTAAAGATTCAGTACATAGAAGAACTACTCTAAAGAACTAGACACAAATAAAAGTTGCTACAAACAGAAGTGGCTGCCAGGATGTTGAGTGTGTGTTGATGTTACTGTGTTACTATGCTGATTACCAGGGTGTTTTGGGTGGTTGCTTAATAGTAATTTATAAAAAGAAAAGTACACTCTTAAAAATATGAGGGCGATTTTTGTGGCGATGCCATAGAAGAGCCATTTTGGACTCCCAAAATAACTTTTTAGTAAAAAGATAACCCTTTTTTTTAATCCACATTTTCCATTATAAAGAACCCTTTGTGATTTTGGAAAGGTTCCATGAATGTTAAAGGTTCATGGAACCATAGATTCCAATAAAGAAGTCTATTATGTTTTAGTCCTTATGGCATATTGGTGATTATTATATGCATTTTATAATCCAATCTTCAGATCTTCAAAGGTTTAGAGAAACTCTGAGCTCTGTCTGCTTTTTGAATGAAAGCTGATTCATTTAACAGAGCAGAGAGGATGGAAATTGGGGGTGGAGAAGAAAAAGAGGTCTAGTTTTTCCAGAGGGGCGTTGCAGGGCTGGGCAGGGGTGTGTGTGTGGAGGGGCTGGATTTCTTTTTGGGGGGGATCAGGGTATCATTTTCATCTGTGTCTGTCCCGCCCCCTCCATGAGTACACCCCGCGCACACTCCAAGTCCCAAAGTGGCCACAGAGACTCTGAGACTCGGACTAAAGTGGCAAGATGAACGCCCTGTGTCCTCTCCTGCCTGTCCTCATTCTGGCACTGCTATACCTGCTCCAGACTGTCCAAGGAGGTAAGACCTCTCATTTTCACTGTTTTAGGACTAATAAGCCATAATATTGTGTGTTTGCAAAAGTTGTTACAAAAAGTTGCATTATGTTGTATACTGCAAGAATGCAGAGCTCAAGCTCAGTGGAAAAGCTTCAAACATCTCAAAGAGTGTGTGTGTGTGGAAGGTTCCCTCACTGAAAAACTCATTCATACTCGTGAGGCTGGAGTCTGTTCTGCCGGTGTACAATAAACTCACAGTCCACCGACCCCTCCTCCTCTCACTTCCGTCGAGGGCTCTTTTGCACGCATTGGGCAGTCTGGCACCGGCTCGCGCAGATCAGAGGTCCTGAAATAAAGAGTCACTTTCAGAGGTGTGGATCAGCTGCCCTACGCACAGATGTTCTTGCTTTTCCGCTCTGAGATCTTTAGCGGCGCCTGTGAGACCTGCAGTCTAATTAGTGTGCGAGTTAAAGTGGCACTGAAGTGAGCGTTGTTAAGCTTCGGATCAGAGCAGTTCTCTAGGACCAGCTGCCACAAACTCACTTGATGGCAGAGATACCGGCAACACCAGAATTGATCTACAATGAGTGTTTGAGCATGTAATCTCAAGAATGTTTTGGCATCTTTATCCTGTATTGTTAGACACCTCATGAGGTGAGACAGTGAGAGTGGTTAAAAAATATATAAAAATGAATGTTTAACTGTAGATGTAAGTCCTCACGGGGAGTGGCGGGCGTGGCAAGGTGGGCGTTTCACAGGTAGATTGTTTATTAACAGTTAATTAAACATTTAGACATGTTTTTTTTTTTTGTTGAGGATCATATCTGATACATCAGGCTTCTATTGCACGTAGTGATATGATGAAAATAGGGAGCTCTTAAGGAGGGAAAAACACCTCAAATTTTATTTATATCTACTTATATACTTATTGGTTTCGAAGCAGTTTATATCAAAGCCTTTATGCGTCAATTCTGGTGTTCCACAGGGCTCCGTTTTGGGTCCTCTTATATTTATTATTGATCTTTTACCCTTTGGTAATATTTTTCAGAAACTTCATAATTGATTTAGTCCTGTAAGTGTTCATCTTGACAAATTACCAGTAACATAAAATGTATTCTCTTTTCTACTTTATAAAAATCAGTAACGATTCCTCATCAAAAAGGCACGTGTACTAAGACCTAAAAGGGGGCTTTTTGTTTACTTGCTGAGTACTATCAATGGATCACCATGGGCATGTTGAAGACAGCAACATTTGAATGATGTAGATATTTTACAGGCCTTAGAAATGCGTTCGATGGACATTACTATACCATGAGGCCATGGGTGAGGATTTGTGAATGGCAGTGAAGTGACACAACTGATGCTGGTAGCCCAGACAGCAAACTGACATTGAATCAACGTGGAAACGACGTCTCTCATGACATTGAAACAACGTTGATTTGCTCATCGAATTAACGTTGAACCAACGTCAGACGCGGCATTCTTCAAAGCTAAATGAAATCGAAAATTGGTTTGCTTTCATAACGTTGAAACAACGCGTTGATTTTCCGTTAGTTTTGAAAGAATGACGCGTCTGACGTTGGTTCAACGTTCATTCGATGAGCAAAACAATGTCAGATCAACGTTGTTTCGATGTCATATTTCCACGTTGATTCAATATCAGTTTGCTATCTGGGAGGTCACGTGACAGTGACAACATGGCGGAATTAGTCAACCTGAATGTCATTCATACTACCATATTCACACTATATAGAACATATTTTTTAAACTTCCTCAAAGTAAATTCAAATTCAAAGGTAGTACCAAATCAGAATGAGATTTCGAACGCAGCGACAGTCTCTACAGACCTTATGTGCCATAGAAACAAGTACAGCCATCTTTCTAATTCATACTTTGCAGTCGCGTGACTACCATGGATGCCTGGCGGGCAACAAACGGGTATTTTCAACGTAGAGTGCTGTAGTTCCAGGTCTTTCTACGTAGCTATCAATGTTAGCGAGCTAGCTGCATAACTATGGACTAGGATTAACTCCAAGGTGAAGGTAGTTCGATTGTGTAAAGCAGACAACGTTTTTTTAGATAATTGAGCAGTAATAATTCCTAAATAATCTAGCTCTCCTGTTCTCATTGAAAACCATGGATATCACAAACCTCAAAACAACCTATCACACACTTTTGTGGTTGTTAGCAAAATACGACAGCTGCATTTACAGCGCCACCGGCGAGAGCGTCAAAGTGCCCAGAAGTCGTTCATTTTTCAATTAATTTTTACGCTCTCGCGGCGGCGGTGTGAACGTAATTCATAAGCTGACTCGCCGCACCAGCTGGTGGCGTCGATTGACGAAACTACAGGTTAACTAAAAGACACAATGATCATACACCCATTGTATTCAAACAAATGTTGAAATTACCTTGAGTGATGGAGTGATCACTGCACAGACGTGTAACGTTATACTGTGAAAGTTGCTCATCTCATCTGGTTAGTCCAACCAATTGCACAACAACTATCTGGCGTGTCATTTTCACCTCGAAACAGCAACTTTTGTATAAAAACTGGCGACGTCCTGGCAAGATCCTTGACTAGTTTACTGGAGAACGGCACTCTTGCCCGCCAGCCAGTGCTTGTGACGTCACGTGCAAACTATGAATATTGTGTTTGAACTTCGGTTTTTGTGGTAGCTTGTACATTTAGAGTAATTAGCTGGTGAAGTGGAATTTGAAAGTTATCGTGAGCATTGTAATGTTTGAAGCGGAGGTCACAACAAATGTCAGTTAGACCGGGAAGATTTTAAAACGAGTGGTTCATTCATGAATCCGTAAGATATTACCTTCATGCTGTGGAAATACAAAAAGGGGCGGGGCACTTTATGGCACTTTCAACATTGTTTGTTTCAGTTATCCAACAACCAATAGCGTGAGTTTTGGGCAGGGCTTCCTGTTTGATTGGTAGATGGAAACTATCATTATTTTTACATTCCAGCGACTTAAAAAGATTATCAACAAAGAAACTAATGTTGGGTGGGGACTTTGTTTATTGGATGGAGGTGAATCTGAATGACAGCATGCAGTTGATTGCGGGGTTTATGAGATATATGCATGAATGAATCATTCACAATAAGATAGCATGATTTCTAAAATTGATTGGCTTAATTATAATTTCATGGCCTCTTTAAAATGAATCATGAGACTGTGACTGTCATGGTGAATCAGGTTTTTAGATATTACTGACTCAGTAAGCAGTGTACCAGCAATATCGTTGGATTTTGAAACGTCCAAGCTGCTGTCTGTTGCCACAGCAACACGTTACACAAACAGGCCTGTGAGCATGGTAAGCATTTAAGGCTATACAAGGAGTGTGTGTGTGAATGTGTGTTGTGATTGCAGCAGTGCATATGTTTGAGTCCGGGTAGTTGGCAGGGTAATAGATGTTTGTACAGCTCTGCACATTAGATTAATAAACATAATATTTGCATTTGTAAATTGATGAGATTAGTTTGCTGGTCTCAGAGAGAGACGCAGTTTCCAACGCAACAAGGGGCATCTCAGAAACAGAAGGCAAACATTTATCTTTGCTCATCTCTCAGCAGTCTGATGTTTGTGAATGGATAATGGGTCGAATGTTTGATGTGGACCTTGGATGTGGAAGTAGTGCCACACAGAAAGACTTAAATCTGTCTATGCTACTAGTTTAAGGCAAAGACTCGTTCTCGATGATTTCATGATTCATGATACAGATTTGCATTTGATAAGACTCTGATTCAGTGACTGTGCTAATACTGTACTCAAACCAGTAGCTTTTATTAAATCAACTCTTTAAGGTGCTTGGTTTGACTGAACCAGTCATTTGCTTGTGAATCAATTTTCACTGGTCATGCTGTATGAGCTTCATTTACTAAAAAGATCTGGTTGTTCAGGACAACACTGGTCGCACTGTATATGCATTTTATTAACCTTCAAATGGTCTTCGTTTTCTGTTTACACTTCTGGGCTTTGGGGTCTATACGACCCCAACAATTGATTGAGTAATTGTATACATTTTTAATCATACAAGTAATATCTTTTTTTTTTTTTTTTTTTGTTTACTTTGCATCTATTCATTAATGCTGTGTTTTTGGAGATATAAAGTACTTTTGTATCCATATACCACACAATTCCTCAACTACACCATTAGCTTTAGCATTAGCATATGAAATATTATTTTTTATGTATAACATACATTTCTGTGTAAAAAAAAAAAATCAGATTTATGCTGGATTTTTTTTTGTTTTGACACATGAAGAAAATATATTTAGTTTTATTTTTTTTCACATTTCCCATTCATTTCAATGTGGGGTCATATTGACCTCGAAGACCAGAAGTGTAAACATTTTTTTTTTTTGCATACCTTCAGAACATCCGAATCAAGCTCAGTTTTTTGTGTGTTGTATAGATAATGTATGAAAAGTCACAAAATCGTATTCCACTGAGATGAAGAGAACCATTTTTTTGTCATTATTAAGTAAAAGTCAATCGGGGTCGTATAGACCCCATGACCCGATTGAGGGCTAATAACAGTCATATGTTTGTAAGTCAGCCTACAGTGGTCATGCTATACTTATATTTGATTTGCTGAAAAGAAGAGTCATTTGTTTGTGAATCAAACTACACTGGTCACTTTGCATGTTTTTGTGCACAGCCTGCTTGGTCAACGTTATTTCGCAGTACTACACACTGTCTCTTTTTATTGTATCACATTCACAACTCTGCTAAACTTAGATTGCAATTAAGCTAAAAATGCATATTTTTACCCAGCCTCACACCTTTCCTGTGTAGGTGGACGGCTCGTGGCCAGAATAGGCTGCGATTCATCAAGACTTTATGCTGATAGTCAAACGTCTGCCTATCGGCTAACTCTAGTAGTTGAGGTTGGGTCTACAGTGTTCCCAACTGTAGTCCCCATGGAAACCTGCCGCCCACGCGGGAATCAATGCGGAAAGTTTGAAACCCTGATGCTTGAGACTTTCCCTCCTCACTGTCCTCCTC